ATATTACTATTGTTCAACAGAATGTACATACTACTACTAAAATTTTTTTAAGGAATGATCACACAACATTTCTGCCATGTTTTAATTTTAATAGTAAATGCTTGTTGTTTGCCAAAAAGTTTCATTTTCAATAATTTAAAGATAAATGCTATTTTATGCCTTCATTTGATAACCAGATGCACAACACATAATTTCTGAGGAAAAATAAACATTTCATAAGGCTATTTTAAGAATAAATAACAATAAAACATTAGGTGAGAGAAAATAAAGCATAACTTTATAATTGTCATTTTCTTTAGTCATAGCTTCATATCATAGCAATTTATATTATTATAACACCTAAAATATGTTGCCTGTAAAAAGTGTTTGTTTCAGCCACTTGAAGGGTGGGTACATTGTGTGCACATGATCAGGATGTACCACCTCTGCCGTATTTTGAGAAAGGAAAAGGACTATACATTATTTGGATAATTAGTCAAAAACAACAACAGTTATGTCTGATTCTGTTGTATAGAACTGAATAAAAATAATACATTGATATTTAATATTAATATATTTTCTGTCCAATTTTCTTTCAAGAAAAGTGTGGTTATTTTATTGGCTTGTGTTTTTTAAAATTCTGTGTCATTAAAATTGAGTTAAATTAAAAAGTCTTACAAAATTACTTTATATTATTTAATAAGATAAATAATTATTACAAAGCATTTTCGGTTTTGGTTTTTGACCAAGCACATCCAGAATTCTCGGTTTCTGCTCAGAATTTTCATTTCGGTGCATCCCTACCATTTACTGTAACTACTTACAGAGCACTGTGTTTGCAACCACATGCTCCTTTAAAGGATTACACACACACAAACACACACCAGTATGCAGAGAGACATTTAAAAGGTTTTATTCTCCAAATAACTTTAAATTCATGTTGCTGAAAAATGTGTTAATAAATGTTATGTGTATGGACTCTTGTTTTTGTTCCACATTAGCTTCAAAGCAAAGAAGACTGTAAAGGCTTATGTCATGCCTGAGCTGTAGTTAGGCTGAAACTTGAAAGTTAAGTTTCACAATGTTTAGGTCTTATTATAATTTTTTTATTACTATTATTCTGATTTATGTCTTCGTTTTTGGTTGTACTATGTTTACCTTTTTTAAAGTAATTTGAAATTGATTTTTATATTTTTATATATTTGTATTTGCATTTTGAATTTTAGTTTTCACAGTTATTAATATATGCAATTTCAGCAATAAAAATGTTGACTGAAAAAGCCCTAATTAATAAACAGCTGTTTTACTAAATTCTTTTGAGGTGAAATTCAGTGCAGTCCCGTATCGTGATACATATCATATCGTGGCCTCTGTATCGTGATACGTATCGTATCGTGACTTTGCTGTTGATACACAGCCCTAATACCTAATAGAACCGCTTTAAGGGAGAAAATGCGCCAGGTTCCGAAACAAACGCTCCAAAGGAGCCAGGTGTGAACACGTCCTAAGTGGCCTGTCTCCTCCGAAATTTTCTGATGCTTCTATGTAGGAATATTTTTTTTTCTTATTTACATTTATGTATTTTGCCACACTTTTATCCAAAAGCACCTTACATTGCATATATTGTGTATGTTATGTCAGTTCTTGCAATCCCTGGAAATCAAACCCATGACCTTGCCATTGTTAGCGCCATGTTTGAGCTACGGGAAGTCTATTGGAGTCATTACCTAAGTCATGGGCAGACTCTGCAAATGTCCAAAATGATGGAACCACCTGCAGCAGCAAGCTATATGTGCATGAGTAAGGATGACTGCCAGTTTGGCAGGCATGTGCGAATTCAACCCTGGTCATTGGATTGGCACCTGGCATCAGAAGACTAGTGTTAGGAAGAGCTGGAAGAGAATGGGAGGTTGATAGCAGGTGCCTTGGCACAGTCATCTACTGAACTTGCATGACACCAAGAGATTATTTCAGTGAATGAATTCTTCTTCTCTAAGCAGCTTGCATGTATAGTATCTCTGCAGGTTTGTCCCATGCAGTGTTAGATACTGCTACCATTGCTTGGATTTAGTGTTCAGGTAACAGGTTGGAATAAATTTGGGTTGGGTTGAGTTAAATGGTGTGCTGCTTTCTAGGGTCAAATTATTAGAGACGTGTAATAATGAGGTGTCACCTAGCTACACTTTCCCTTTCCTGACTCAGAAGCCTCACTAGCTCTCCCAGCTGTAGCAACCTGTCTTTGAATGGTTACTTACCTGTAACTAGGGTATTTTTTTTTTCTTTGTTCTTCTCTTACCCTGAGTCATGTTAACCAATGTTCTCATCGCTTAAAGATCTGTGGTACTGTGCCACCAAAGCACTTTGATGTAGTATTTGTGTTAAACATTGAAGAGCTTTATTGCCAATAATGCAGTCACTTGATTATGTAATAATTAATTTCTCTCTCTCTCTATCCAGCCTGCATGAGGAGATAAAGGACTTTTATGAGTATATTTCTCCTCGTCCAGAGGAGGAGCACATGAGGCTAGAGGTTGTGGCCAGGATCCACAGAGTCATCAAGGACTTGTGGCCCAATGCCGAGGTTAGTGTTACTCACACACAGTTTCAGTTAATATGATTGTCTTCTTGGGGTTTATGTCATTTTGTATTCTTGAATATTTGGATGATGGGGAACAATCAATAAGGTACCTGCCAAAGAGGCATAAATACAAACACTTGACCTTTTAAATATCAAAGACAATATGTGAATTTGTTCTTGCAGTAGTTCACCATTATGTTGGTGTCATGGACATGCAGAGGTCTAAATATAGAGCTTTGAGGAACCCCATTTCTAAGTTGTCACTGGAACCCATTATAAATACAATAAATACTCTTCTCAATTCACCTGTACATCTAAAAGGATATGTTTATTGATTTAAAGGGTTAGTTCACCCAAAAATGAAAATTCTGTCTCAAGAAAATGAATTACTCACCCTCATGTCGTTCTAAACCCATAAGACCTTCGTTC